GCTTTAGACCATTACACGTGGCACCACCTGATATAATCTTTGCTGCCCAAATAAGATACAGGAAAGATGTGAAAACAGCGTCGTGACCTGTACACATGACTTTCATCGAAATAACCTAGGCCTTCGATTCGGTCAACAGGGAAGCCCTCTGGTGGACCCTCAACCGTTTTGGCTGCCCCCCGAAATTCATCGCCATTGTGAGGCAACTCCACGATGGCATGAACTGGAGTGTCCTGTACAATGGCACCCAGTCGGAGTTCTTCCCCATCCAAACGAGGGTTAAACAAGGGTGTCTACTGGCACCAACTCTCTTTTCCATCTTCTTGGCTGCCTTCCTTACTCGTGCCAGTGCCAATTTAGCCAGCGGGTTGAATATCGAGTACCGGGTGAAGTGGGGTCTTTTCAACATAAGACGACTCCAGTAAAGAACTAAGGTGTCGACAGTTTCCATTACTGAACTTCAGTATGCAGACGACCTCACTCTTGTTGCTCACACTGAATGCAACCTACAGGAGATCCTGAACTACACATATGCGTATGCACACTTCGGCCTTAAGGTGAATGTATGTAAGACTCAGACTATCTTTCTCAACTTGCCCCTGGTTCAACCATACCTCCACCATCCATCCATCTTAACGGTACTACCCTCTCTAATGTTACTCACTTTCGTTATCTCGGCTCCCACTTGTCCACCACTACGGACATCGATGAACAGATTCAGCATCGGATCAGATGTGCATCTCAAGCCTTTGGCAGACTCAGGAACTGTGTCTTGAGCTGTAGGGAGCTGAAATTATTTACAAAACAGCACGTATATCGAGCAGTGTTCCTCCCTACCCTGCTATATGGCAGCGAGACATGGGTTACACACAGGAGGCACCTCAAGGCACTTGAAAACTTTCACCAACGCAGTCTACGTTCCATCCTCCGAGTTCGCTGGGAAGACAAGGGAACAAATGCCAGCATCTTTGCTGACACCAACTGTAGGAGCATTGAGGCTACCATTATACATGAACATCTATGCCTGACTGGCTATGTTATACGCATGGACGACAGTAGACTGCCAAAACAGCCACTTTTCAGTCACCCAATGAATAGTAAACGTAACGCCGGCGGGCAATTGAAATGGTATAAGGATAGTCTTAAGACAAACCTGAAAAAGTGCCAATTCGACCACCTCCCTGGGAGTCGATTACTCCACATCTTAATGCGTGGAGGAGTACCACACGAGAAAGTGTCAATACTTTCGAGTTAGCCCGACTTCAAACCGAGGCAGACAAACGAAAACGCCGGAAAGACGCTGTCATTGCCCCTCCCGGACATGTGCAACATCTGTGAACAACTCTGTCGGTCCCGTATCGGCCTCTTTAGTCACCTCAAAACTCACCAATGAAGGTGACATCCCGCGGTGTCCGCCTCAGGACCTCCCACTCACGGTGTGTATGCTCCTGTAGCTGCACCCTGGTTCTCTCTTCAGCTGGCTCCCACACGTTCACAATATTGCCCCAAACGTTCTCTATAGGGTTCATGTCACAACCTTTACTTGGCCAGTCTAAAACTTGCACATTTCTTTGTTCTACAAACCACCGCGTTACAATCCGTACGGTATGGATAGGACACCTATCGTGCATGAAAATGATGTTTTCGGGAAACGGGAAAGCATATGCACGCACCGAGGGAAGCATAACTTCTTCGAGTATTTCTAAATACTGTTCAGCTGTGAATCTTCCTTCTATGTCTGTCAGCTCTCCAACTCCGTGCAAATATATCCATCCCCAAACATTGCAAGTCACATGGCCACTCCTTGCTTCCTCATAAATATGCTGTCCAGCATATCGGGTGTTGTTCCTCCTCCAGCAATGCAACCTTCCGTGAGAGGTAGATGAGAAAGTCTTTTCGTCAGTGAATATTATTCTTCCCCAGAAATCTAAGCCTTCTTCAGCATACCGTCGAGCAAACTGCAACCTGCCCCCGCGATGTCGCTCATTTAACTTCTCCTTGGTGGCGGGAGTTCTATGGTGAATGCCTCCTTCGTGAAGTCTTCGCCTGATTGTTAAAGGGGAAATATTTAATTGTAGATCCTCTCTTATTGAAAATGAAGTCTTGAAGGGGTTGGCCTCAGCGAAATTCCGGACGGCTTCAACTTGTGCAAGTGTTGTTCTGCGTGGCATTCCCGTCCTGTGGTGGTCCTTTAAACTTCCCTCCTCTTCCCATCGCTTAATCCAATATTATGCAGTTGAACAAGAAAAACCCAATTCTCGTGCAATTTCAGTGGGTGAAAACCCAGCCTCTTTCATGCCGATTATTCTTCCACGTTCAGTGATTTTCTGCGTGTGGTATTCCATGCTGGCAGGGTCCTTCTACAATTGAGGGAGTGGAAGGGTAGTCAGCACTGACAACACCTCTGTCTCCCCCACCTTCCCGCCAATAACGTCAGCGTTATATTTATATTTATTATGCATTTATAAAAAATAAACGAATAAATAAATAAATAAATAAGATACAAATTTATAATACATCATACACATTTTTGGAAAAAATTTAATATTTTTTTTTAAAGACACCAGATTAAACGTGACGTAATTGACACAAGTCAGAAACAAGGATTTTGGGGGGGGGGGCACAAAGAGTCACTCAATGAAAGAAATGCCATTTGCTGCTTACATTATTCATAGTCTTGGAATGACAATGATATTGCTAGACAATGGCTTGTAAAAGTATTAGGCATATGCTACAGTACTAATTCACACCATCAGACTGATGGTTCGTAAGATTAATTACCATCACCTTCAATTGAACAACGTCATTATTAAATACAGACACAGACTGACACACACACACACACACACACACATACATATACACACACACACACTCCACATCCGCACACACACACACTCTACATGTGCATACGCACACAGGGAATTAAAACAGCAGTTTGTGTTGCAAGAAATCAGCGTCTTTAGAAAGAAGTTTTGTTTAGCATCGGTTAGATACAATTGGATTAATTACCATAAAGGGATTAAACGTTTGAAGACAATATTAGTATAAATTAATGATAAACAGGCAACCTCATAACAGCCTGCACACAGCTGTGCCCGATGCATGATGTTCTTTAACATACCGATTTTTACTTATGTTTATTTATCTAAATATAAATTCATATAGGTTGGCTCATTGCTCTATCCATTTTAAAATCAAATTAACAGTATATACTAGCAGAAAGGCATAATATAATGCGAAACAACAAAGCCCAACCATTAATTAAGCAACGGGAACTAAGTAACCAATCACCGATCACTTTTACATTCATTCATAATTTATACTACGTAGTATAGTAAACAAACGGCCTTGAGTTGCCAGCTGTCTCCAGTAGTGTTCCAAGAATCTTGAACGTGACTGTACCTACTTTACTACTAGGTGAAAAGGGGCCAGGGAGCTAGGAAGTGTGTCCAAGCAGCTTTCCGGCCGGGGAATCAGACCCACTGACATCTCACTTGCAGGAGCCAAGGCGGTGCCGCTCTACCACGGCCTTAGCCTTCATATTGTCTCTGATAAGCAAAACTTCTGTCTTGTATTAATGAAACACAGTTTCCTGCATTACTGATTCCCTTCCTTTTTATTTATCTTCCGGAGTAATCCTACCTGGTTTCATCATACCTGCCATTATATTTGTCATTTCCTTGACTGTTATGATATATTTTTACAGGAAATGTCCTCTAGGTACACAATAGTTTCCAAGAAAACTCCCCAAAAGGTATTGAAAAAGCATGTGCAAGATGCAACAGTCTAGCAAAAGCACACTTTATTGTAACATGGTTAAGTATACCTAGGATTTAAACCACGCAGACTCAGTTGATGGTGGTCGAGCTGTGTAACAGCACCTTTGTTTCATATAAATATACACCCAAATGAATAACATCAAGTTATTCACCATGTTATTCACGAATGCTGTACATAACTTCTAGGTTGCATCAATCACAGGTCGAACCAGGATCAGCTGAATCAGTAAACATTGCCAGCTCCGCCTGCTCTTTCTTCCGACAGTCGTGGCGTGACCACCCAAGGGAACAGACATGCCCATAGGTGCTCTTGGCTTCCCGATCGTCCCACCAAGGTCCCCTCTGCCGGCACGTTTTGCCAGCATGGGGGGTCGACATAAACGTCCCAGACGAGGCTCTCTCATAGACGCAGACATCTCTGATACTGATACCAACTCGCCTGGTCATACTGAATCCAACACCCTTCAAGAGTCAGACCCCAGTGATTATGACAGTGACGCTAATGTTTCTATGGGAAACGCTAACCACAGTAGAAACACCAATGCCATGGACCCTATCACCCTGCCCTCTGCCAAACAAACAAGTAAGCTGAATCTCCACTTCCCCAAGGACTCTGAAAACTGTAGAGGAACGCTTTAACTGGATGATGAAGTACTGCAGACAGCACGGTTTCAGCATTGAATTCCGACAAGGTAAGAACCGGAACTTTATCAAGTGTCAGACTCCTGAGGCCTATGAAACACTTAGTACTGTTGGCTTTGACGGGGTCGTCCTGCTGCCCCCCACTGTAGACGCGAATGAAT